ATTATTATTATTATTATAATAATAATAATAATAATAATAATATCAGTCCCATATATGAAGCACTTTTAGCTGCATCTCATGTATGAAAAATGCTATAGAATTATTAGGTATGTGATCTGGCATTAGAGGTAGGGGGGGTTCCTGTTTTCATTTGGGGGTCCCTAGTTTAATAAAGTAGGGTTTCCTAATCCGGTTCTCAGAGACCCACAGACAGTCTGGGAGCAGGGAGCAAAAATGTAGACAGTCTGGTAGGGAGCAAAAACAAGGACCTACTCTGGGTCCCTGAGGACCAGATTGGGAAGGATGGAAAGCCCAGTTTTACACTGAGCAAGAATGTAGCTTCACCTTCAGATATTTCAGTCGACAGGTGAAGTCTAGTATGTGCCCAAGGTCAGCCCTGGCATCGCCGTTGGCGCACGTGGGCTTGGCAAGTCGCAGCTGCTGGGTGACAGCGTAGAGCTGTAGGGGGCGCAGTAGAAACACCTCGCCTGCCAACAGGAGCTGTTCACCTGGAGGAGAACAGGGACACTGCAGCTTCTGGATGGTCCTTACCGGGCAAACCGGAGAATTCATTCTGAATCGGCCCTTACAAATAATAATAATAATAATATTTAAAAATTATTATTATTATTATTAAAATAATCCCATGCTGGTTAAGTACAGCGTCTTGAAACCAGAAGGTCATGGGCACAAGGCCCAGCATTACTGAAACAGCACCTTAAAGGAAGGCATCAATTCTGAGACTTAAAACAGCAACTCGGCATTACAAAAGCAGCACTTCAATCGCTGTGCCACCTAACGACGACATTTAAAAACTGACTGGACCCCACAAGGGCTCACGGTGAAAGAAAAGACAAACGTTGCCTTTCAGTCAATTACTGGCTGCTAAAAAGCAGAGACGGAAAGCCAACTCACATCAAGCTGAAATGAAATATCAGGAAGCCCTCCCAGACATACCTCTGTTATAGAGCTCCTCAGCCAATGCAGCTGTGATGCCGTTTATTTCCTGAAAAGAGGGTGCAAAGCAGAACATCTGAACATTCAAAACATGCTGCATAAATTAATTACTACTCCCCCCCCCCTCTCTACCGCTTTATGCGGATTTCTGAATTTACATATTTGCTGTGGTCTTAAGCTTCCTCAGTCATGCAAATAAACTTCCTGGACATAATGAAAGATTCCCAGAGGCCACAGAAAGATACCCTCCAGTAAAAGCAATAACGGCAGTTAAACGAAACACAAGGCAGAATGTAGAAGAGCAGATGGTGTCCACTTCTGGGCAGTGGGATCCCCAGGCTGACTATGCACCTTGTATGGTAGAACTCAAGGCAATAATGGAAAGCATAGGACATTCCATGTTTAATGCTCTTCACTGCTATCACATGCATGTTTGGCTGAGCACCAGCCAGCAGGAATCTATCTGTCATGTGGAGATTGTCTGATTGAAGTAGCCATTGTGTGATGATGACTGGACAGAAGCTCAAGCAGCCAATATGGATTACTTTATAATATGATATCTATGTTCTTATTTTATTAATGGAGACTGCACTAGTACACAACCAAAAGAAATCAGCTAGTTGTACTACGATACATATTACTAAATAGAAGATGTCTATATTTTTAAGGATTGATAGACTTTGTCGTTCTTGAACATTATGGTAAATATAGTCAACAACTTACAACACGGATTACTGGGGACACTGTCAGTTTAAAAATACCCACTGAAGCGGATGCGATCATAAGGCAAGAATCGGAAAAAAAAACACACTTACATATAAGTGGAAATGCAGAAAACAAGATAAGACTTTGGGCGCCGCCACAGGGAATTTCACTAGCAGGGTCTCAAGGTAGATTTCCAGATCCTTCTGTCTTTTTTCAACCAAGCTTCTGGAATTTTTGCCAATCATTTTCTTCGGCGGTAGCAAGTTTTTGTCGATTTTCTTTTCTGCTGTCAGCTAGGGAGGAGAAAAAAAGGTGCAGAATAAAGTTCAATCAACAAGTACGCTGCCTACAACAACCTCATAATTCATTTTTTTAAAACAGTGTGAAGTGAGGCTATACCTAAGATACACAATTATAGGCTTGGAAATGCTTTTTATCTGACACCTAAAACACGAGGTGACTTGGAATTAAAATAACTGCATCGAGTCTGAGCAAAGAATCACCATGGCAAGCAACTCCCACCTCCCAGAGTTGGTATGACCCTTTGGCGATATATTATTACCAAAGTGGAGTAAAGAATAAACCATTAGCAAAAAATGAGCAAAGAGGGTGAAAAAAAAAACCCATACCGGTATGATACTAATTTACATTTTTTTTTTTTTTTTTAAATAAAGTCAATATCTAAGACACATAGTCTAAAGCGTGTATTGACAAACCACCTTTTCATGTAGGTCATGAAAATCACTGTAACGATGTTTTATAGTCCACTGATGACAGCCCGCCATAACCTCAATGATGTACACCTGGAAAAAAAACAGGCAGCATCTCTATTTGATTATGAACAGAGCAAATTTCCAGAAAAATGGACTTTAGACAAACAGAAACAGTATCCAGTTTGGAACACATCTTAACATATCATTAAGCACAGAGATCTGGTGACTTCCCATGGTAATCATTTATAATTTGCTGATACAGCGGACAAAGGTGACTGTTAAATTTTAAGTAAGTACAGAAAGTGGCACGGAGATAATGCTGTCATGTCTTAGAGCTGTTCTATTCTACATAAATCATATTCTCCTACAGACACAACTCACATAAAAACAACAACAGATAAACAATACAGTGAAGTTCTTAAGATAGTTTCAAATCTAACTCCCATTTAAAAAAAGGTAAAATACCGTAATAATATGTCTAAAATAATAGAAGACTCTTTAAAGAAATATTTACATGCCAAGACTTTTAACAGGAAATGGTACTCAAGCAATACTTTTGGATGGATGGATGGATGCATGGATCAATAGGTGAGCGATAATATGAAGCAGTGGTATAAATAAAATAACCTTTATCAACTACCCTAGGGAAAAGGGGAAAGAGTGCATGAGTGACGTGAACCAGATCTGCTGAACAAAGCGATCTGAAATGCCTACATTGAAATACCCATTGCACTGCAATATTTCCATTTAAATTCATATTTGGACTTTTAAACTGCACGATATGTAGCTGCACAGCTCACGTCAACACCTCCCTCAAACTGTGTACAGGCTACATTTCACATATTCTTATGTGCAAAATTTGGAGCCTACGTTGATCATCAGTTACGTGACTGCATCTAAAATACATACGAAAAAATATACCGCACGGCTAATCCCCTTACAATGTGTACTGTTACGTGCATAAGGCTAGCAGTAAAACTGTCAGTCTCCCTGCGCCGGAAAATGCCGGCAGTGCATAAATAAGCCTTTCTCGGACTGGTAAACTGCCACTAACCCTAACCCGATTAAACGGACACATTTTACTAAATAAACCACAGATGTGTTATATATAAGCAGTAAGACCTGCTAAAAAGGCGCTGAATCGTATGCACCGGGTTAAGGACGTACGGTATAGTTGTCCACCAGCTCCGAGCCCACAATGCTGACCTTCCTCCGCTCGACGGGCTCGTCGTGGAAGGCGGCTGCGTCCATCATCGCCCAATGTGCAGAAAGTTAAAGTGCGGGCAACGCGGGGAATTTCTTGGATGACATGTCTTCTGTATTCGTTACAGTGGTGGGAGAGAAGATTACGGCCTTCCCAGTTCCATCTTTGTTGTGCTGAAGGATGATTCAATCCTAGAAACTTTATTCGCAGCGTCTGCAGCGGGACACGCACTTAGCGACCCGTCGCCTCGCGTCACTCGCACCTTCGGCCCACTTAAGGCATGAAGGCGCGTGTCAGACAGCCTGTGCATACTTAGCACCTGCAGATTATACATTTTTTTTAGAATCTACAACCTTAAGCGTGTGTGCAATTCAAGTGGCGTCGTGAGAAATATCCAATAGAAAATTAAAGGATAAAAATGAAAAATGTCATATGTTGAGAAATGGCATTGTTAAAGGCAGAACGTAAGGACTCTGAATGCGACATACATCATAGCAAAATACTAAAATAACCCAATTACTTAAATGCCCGGGGCGTTCTGTGGAATACGTATCCAATACCTTAAGTAAAAATAGATTTGAATTATTATTTAGATGTGCATAGACAATAGTGAAGTTCGGGCACGTTTGTTAACATACTTATAAAAAACTCTAAAAACCAGTTTTTAAGATCTTTATGCCATTCTAATCATTCATCCTGTGTTAAGGTAGACCTACAAGTATATGGTACTTAATTTCGTTGCTCGATCTCTTTTAGGTAGATATCGGTCAAACGCGAGAATTAAGGTGGTAATTAAAACTAGCTTCCACGCCCGTTTTTTAACAACTACGAGTTACACGTTTCGATACGATTACCAGACACTACAGTTTAAGGCGATTAATAACTGTAGCACCCTAAGTACCCGGAAGTAAAAAGCTTTTAACACTTTGGTGCTTATTTACAAAAACTATATTAATTTATTAATGAGATATAGGCCTATCGATATTGTCAGACACAGGCGACAGAAACGTACTACTCTGGGAAACAGTTATGATGTAAATATGTATTTTAATTGGGCCAAAATAAATCTAGCAATAAATTAGCATTGCAAATATGCTACATGTAATGAAACATTTATGCGGACGCTAACAAAATGAAAGGACAAAAATAAAAAAGAAAGATACTAATTATGCGCGATGACAAATCACACTTTTTGGAATAATTTGACAGATTTTTTGTTCAAAGCAGGTTATGAAAATAATGACATAACTTCACATATTGATAACTCTGCTATGTTTTAACAGACACGTGACCCTGGATAACACGGATATTGTACTTGGACGATATTTATTCATTTATTTATATATATATATATATATTTTACTAAACATTTAACGTAACAGCCTTTTCGATTATCATAATTACTTATTTTTTTCTTGTCATCGTTATCCTCACTGAGATTTGTTTTAGGTCATGGTTTGTTGGTTTGTTTGTTAATGGAGTTGTTTAAATGTAGGCCTATACAGGAACATCTGAACAGTCAAATTACTTCTTGATTTGGAAAAAATAACTTTATAGAAATACATTTCTACTTGCGAATTGAAAACACGATTGAAAATGCAACTTTTAAGGTTATTTTTTTATGTAGGTTGTTTTTTTTTCTGCCGTAAAACACCTGCGGTCAGATCAAATGCAGAAAATGTTACACAATTCTCAAAATAAAATTTACTTTACACCATGCTGGAACCATGTTCGGCCAATCAGCTGTGTAAGTGGAAATTTGTTTGACCTATAAAGCACAACTTTGCTCTACATCGTCCTTTGTCCAAGCTTGGCATCTTGCAGTACACTGTACACTGAATCTGCCAGTCAGCCTTATTCTCCCCTTTTACTTCACGATATAATTTATTCCTTAATGAAATTTTAAAAATACCGTCGTAGTGTATGATGATCTCAGCTTGCCGTTTCTGTTTTTATGGCAAAAAGTAATTGAGAAGCACACACTGATATGTATACGTGTTAACAAGTTACACATTTTAACTATTTGTGGTTGCACTACTTTTTTTTAGCAAAACAGGTTGCACAAAGATTTTTTAAAAACCATACCACAGGAACACTATGGTGAACAATATTGCCTATTGTTTTGATGATATTTGGTTTGATTAATAATTGAAACGTTTGATAGGGGCATTTTGAAAAGCATTTGACACATTACACATGATTCTGATATCAGTTATGCTTATTAAAGTGTATTCTTTAATTTGCTTACAAAGAAAAGCATCGGTTTTCACCTAACCCATATGCTGCAGGCGACTGACTCACAACAAAAATATGGCCTTACCCTACGTAACTAGCTCGGTTTGGCTGCTACTGTACGTGATTATGCCCAGTTGTACTTGCACGAAAACAATCATTTCGTATTTAGGAACATGTACAGGCTTATACAGAGCTTTTAATGTTGAAAACAACCATTTTATTCCACACATACATGTTCCGTCGATTTGCGCGTAACAGACGGATACTATAATTTTTTTGTTGTTTGGAAAAGTAATACACTTACGCTAGGAAACATGATTCTTGTTATTCAGATAGGTACTTGCACTACCTAGTACAGCAATTTACACAGGGAATCGCACGGGTTACGCACAAAAGTCAGAGCATGCTACGTGAGATTAACGTGAAGGCTCTTCGGAAGGACCAAAAAAATAACAGATCGAGCCACTACAGAAATGGGAGGACACAAATTTATATTTAATTAAGTCAATCTATAACCTCTGAACAATGTGACATTAGTGTACTCCATATGTAATATAAAATAAAACTGAGTATTTTACTTAACAATTTAAGCGGATATAATGGTATTTACATTTAGTAATTTGTTCATCAGAATACTTGACACCCCTATGCGTCCGACTCAGATGAACCTGCCCATTCTATATATATTGGAGTACAGCTTGGGGAAAATTATTGGTAACTGACAGAAATAAGTGAGCTCGAGCTAGTCTTTATAATTGTAAATGAAGCTTAGTATATGGTACATATCACCCTTGTTTTGCCTTTGATTCTCGGCTTAATATTCTGTGACTTAAGTTGTTACTAAAAAATCGGAAAAACAGCCGAGGAAAGAAAAAGGGGTGTGATTTGCGCCTTAGCCAGCCGCCGAGCGGGGGTCAAGCTGCCTGTGCTGCAGGAGGCGCACCACCAGGCTATGTACTACAAAAAGCCCGTGGTGAAGAAAAAAGCGCAGCGGATCGTCAAAAGGTAGGCTAGTCCTGCCGCGGGGTGGTCGTGTGGTCAGCCACGACGGGCCCAGACCCTGTCAGCAGAGAGGGAGAAGCTCTTTGTTTGGCCCCCCAGCACCAGCTGTCAGCAGCCGGGCAGATTATGTGAATGAGCGCAGGAGGCAGCAGGACAGCTCGAGCCTGGCAGTTGATGCCACTCGTGGACGAAATGTGCGGCAGGGGCTTCATGTGTCATTGGCGAGGCGACGACGGCAAACCCCTGGAGGACTGCAAGGCCGGGGACGCGAAGCGCAACTGGCACAAGTGCACAAGGAAAGCGCAGAGGTGGGGGAAGAAGTGCAGACCTGGGCATCACCTGCCCTACGGACGGCGGAACCGGCCGGGACCGCGACTGTCACTGCGTCCCGTAAACAACCAAGGCAATAGGGCGCCGGGGATGAGAGCCCCGAGGAACACCAACCAGTTCCTCATGCATGAGAAGTACCAGATGATGCATATGCGATCGGACTCTGTGGGCACGGACAGCGGCTCGGACTGCGAGATGGACATCGCGGACATGGACTCGTACCTCGGCATGCTAGAAAACGCCCGCGGCGGCCTCATGGACGGTCCTGATCCGTTTCCAGCGCCTGCCAGGTTTTGTCCGCGACGGCTGGCCAAAAGCCAGCATTTCCAGTTGAGTTTAACCGAGATCCATCAAGAAGAGAGCATGCAATACTTCCCTTCCGAAGACGATGTCATGCAAAGTGAAGATTTCATGGAGAAAGATTTTATTGACTTTTGTGACAGGGTAACGTGTGTAGCACCCTATGCTGTGTAAAATAACGCGCACCATCAGTCAGTATGCCTTTAAACAGTGGTCTACGTATCTTCTTTTTTTTTTACTTGGAACTTTACACGAACGAACTGTAAAATTTTGATATGTAAATTATTCTTCGGCGATTGCCAGCTTTTTGTTTTCAGTATTGAAAAGAAAAGGGTGGGTTGAGTAGGAGGAGAGTCAAACAGCCAATCATACACGATGTTTGCATTAAAGGCGATCGTCTGCCTGTCATTGTAAATACGTTAATCTCCCCATAAAATAAACGCTGTATAAACTGGTGAACAGTCTCGAATGGTCTTTCTTTTGGCTGCGCTGTGGTTTGTAAACGCGTCCTGTAATTTTATACCCATAAATCGGTGACTACAGGAAGTCGTTAAGTTGAACTAATGAGTGTGGGACTTGTGTTGAAGATTGTAATGTAAATTTTGCACAAAGAGACGTAATATTGCGCATATTTTCATTATTTACATTCCGGAGTTTTTCATAACATTAGCGACCCTCCGAAGTCTTTTAAGCAGCTTCTTGAATTTTAGTTTCTTAAACTCGAGCTTGACGGAACGAAATATATATATGCACGAACTAATTATTTGAAATATATTAACCCAGTTTTACAACAGCAAGCAGCAGAAGCCTATATTATATGAACTGGAAATGAAGGTTAGGATGGTGCCAAACCATTTTAATACACGTCAGCCATTTTGGTCTGTCTCGGACAGCCGAGGAACCGTCCAGAATATTCTGCCATAGACGGAATACAGTTATCTTTCATTTGACATTTTTTTTTGTCAGACAGCACTGTGTTCCCATTTTAGGTACCCCGTTTTTGTGTGTGTAAGCTTCTTCGACAAGCTATGCATGATAGTATAGGAAATAAGGAGAAAAACTTTTCCAGTGCCTAATTTACAAATACTGCACAGATTTGATTTTTGAATGAGCAGTTTCTTATTTGTCTTACTACTTTGTGTCATGTCTAAAATGACCTTTTCAATGGCACTTCATGTATACTGCAAAAGTACATAGAGAAACACTGATAAGACATGTGGGCCTAGCCTGAAATGAGATTATGTAAAACTTTCCTAACATGATAAAGCCCCACTTATTGAGTAACATATTAGTCATTCACAGATTATGGCAGCATTCTAAATTAGGCCAGACAGGTTCACTAGCCAATCAAATGTTCTTTAGGATAATAAATATTATAGTTTACAAAAGTAGGTGCCAACTTCTTTGTGTCAGACCTATGGATCTTTTTTGTTCTGCAAATGCAGTGTGCAAAGTTTTATCTATATGAATTAGAACTGAATGAACTGCCTGTCCTGCATAATGATACCCAGTGCATATATGTGTCACTCAATGTGTCTCAATGAGGAGAAAAAAGGGACACTTTTCCTTTAATTACACTAGCTACTTTGGAGAAGACGGTGTGCAGGTAGAGAGCCTTGGAGAGACTTGGAGATCGTTGCGGGGGGATGGGTGCCACCCCGAGGCTGATCTGTAACACATTCCTATTTCCATTCTTTATTACACACTCTGGAAGGACTTCAGGGGCCAAAGATACAATTACACCTATCAGCAAGATGGAACTCTTCCCAGGTCTAAGAAATGATTTTCAGAGGCAGGGGAGACCTACAAGTAACAGGAGTGAGGCAGGGATCATGAGTTGGGCTACGGATTACACATAGCAGGAAGGCTTCTGTCATGCCCCCATGCTATATCAGTGAGCCACTGAGAATGTTTGGCTCCCCTCCCCTCCCCTCCCCCATGGATGTTGAAGGCTTGGGCTGGATTATACACAGAGGTAAAGATAGGGAGAGATCCCTAAACAGCTCTGTCCTGCCCCCCCCCCCCCACCACCACCTCTCTTTCCCAGTCACTACTCTCTCTCTCTGTCACACACTTCACACACAAAGTTACAAGCAACCCAGCAACTGTCAGGCCCTTCCCAGAGATTCCAAATAGCCTGTCCAGGCTTGCCAATCAAATATGGAGCAGTCAATGATGACAGGGGTCAGTGACCGGACAGCCCCATGAATATGCTGACCCCATGGTAATATGAGAGCTTGTTTAATTTTGAACTGCTTGAGGTGGACGGGCTCACGGGCATGTTGTATGGCAGGGACGTGCTTTTGGGGGGGAGGCAGTGGAAGGGAGGGTGTTGCTGAGTGTGTCGAGCTGCCAGTGCGCCCGTGTGGAAAAGTACTACGGCTTGTGTGTGTTTTTCAACTTCATGGGCGTTACACAGAGGAGCCATTGTTAGGGCAAGGTAGTTTTTTTTATTTTAATTTTTTCTTACCAACCAGGGAATGGTCTGTGTTATTAATGAACAACGTATCTACAATTCATACATTAATAAATGTGCAGTTAACACAGTGTGGTCACAAATTCAACTGCATGGTTGTTTCTGCCGGTATTGTTTTTACTACTTTAAATATCACCAAATGCAACACATTGGCATGAGATAAAAATCTTATAAAACTGTATTAATTTGATTTTTGAAGTGAATGGTTAAATGGAGCTGTTGCTTGCCTTGTGTTTTTCAGTCAGTCCGTCTCCTTAGTGACTGTCTTACAAAGGTAACGATGGGACTTGCTGATCTGAATGGCACATTCATCCTCTTCTGCTTCATTGCACTGTTCAAATAGGGGTGTCATTTAGATCCTCCAGAGTTTTAATATGTGTAGGAAGATAAAAATTCCATATTTATCATGAGTGACACGGATATCCGATTTCTGTAACAGAAGTAGAAGCAAAATTAATTTCCATCCATCTTCTGTATCTGTTTGTCCCATGCAGGGTTGCAAGGATCCTGAACCTATGGACACAAGGCAGGGAATAACCCAACACACACTATTCACACCTATGAACAATCTGACAACTCCAATGCACCTTATCATATTTTTGGACTGTAGGGGGAAACCGGAGTACCTGGAGGAAACCCCACGACTACACATGCAAACTCCACACGCATGGAGCTGTGGCGGAAGCTCGGACCCTTGTCCCAGAGGTGGGAGGTGACAGTGAACTGCACCACACAAAATTAATTTCATTAATTAAAAATATAAGCATAAACTTGAAACAAGGTATGGTGAATAGTGATACCACCAAAATAAATCATTCTTGTCTTCACGTAGCCTAAGATATTTTCAAATGATGATGGAGATATCTACTGTATGCCTTCTTATTTTTCTTTATGTTATCACACAAAAAAGGGGGCGTGTTTCTTAGGAGGAAAAAAAAAAACATTGAACATAACATGTTGTGCAGACTTAGAGAAACCTGAAAAAATGACAACCACCTGTTTAAGGCAAACACCTTTACTAGTATCCTTAAGGAACACTATTCTGCTAGCAAGTTTGGCTTCATGTTAAACTGTGTCACTTTTTGTCTGGGCATGTTTCACCTTCACCAGCCCCCATCTTGTCAGTGGGTGTATGTGTGTCTTTAAACATCTGTGTCTCAGATGGAAGGGTTTTTATATGTAAGGCAGGGGGCCGGACCTGCTCTCTCCAATCACATCACGCTGTCAAGGCCCCTAGCTGTATGGTAACTATGCAGAGACCTTGAGAGTGAGCTGAATTTATCCACTTGATACTCTTGAAAGGTAGCACCTATCCGACCCCCCGCGGTCTAATTTCTACACTGTTAAGCTTTACAAAACATGTATCTTTACATGTTTCTTTGTGAAATATTGCCCAGTGGAAACGTAAACAGCTCAATGCAAGGCATTTTTGAACCCATATAAAAACCATGATCAAGCATTCTCTTATTAATCTGCAGCCTCTTTGTTGTCTGGGAATGATTATTTCCACGGTTATAACACTGTCAAAAAGTTGGTATAACAGTGAATCAAAACCCATTATTGAAAAGCCAGCTTCACTTTTAAAATGTTGTAAAACTGTCTTTCCTGCAAACATATTTAAAACCACAGTATAACAAAAACTAAAATGAAAAACAAATTTCTTTTTTAAACTGCAAATTTAGAGATAGCTAATGTAGTTTGTGACCTAACTTGATTGGCTTGAGGATGAATTTCGATAGGCTATTTACATTGTAGTTCCGGCTGAAAGAAAAAAATAATTGTTTACAGTATTTACACAAATGCAAAATACAGTCAAACCGTTAGTTCACTGAAACGATTAGCTGCTCCGCCCCCCCCCCCCCCCCCAGTTAATATCTGAAGACAGGGGGCTGCGAAGTTGTTTTTGTTATGAATTAATAAACCATAATGTCGTGTTTACAAGTACAATGAAAAAAGACGGTAGCCAAGGCAGCAGGATGTGCGCCTGTATCGTACTCAAAGTACCCTGTTCCGCGTGTACGTCTAAGATGACGCTCTTCCAGGATATAAAATGAAATAGCTATGCATTAGTGTCTATGACAAAAACGTGCACCTCGTGTCCCCACACCCCTTCCCTTCCCCCAATGTTTGTACTGAAATTGTGCAAACCAGCAGAGAGCTACGTGCAAAACGAGCGAGGCGCTTCTTCTGCATAGTTGCCCACCGACACAAGAAGCGAGAAGTACCGAACGCTTCAACTCGCCGTCAATTTGATCAAACACGACCATATTTTCCCTAAAGAAAATAAGCCATCCAAATAATATGTTCCCAATTTTGTGAAAGCTTAAAAAAGGCGATCTGCCCCCGTTTCTGATACAGAGCTAAAACTCGTTTATGCAAATAGAATCGGGGACCTTGATTAAACGCCTTTTAGCCAGCTTATTCCTCATGAACTTACTTGCTGACACAGCGTTTACGTTTCCTTATTGGGCCGCACCATTCATGTACTCGCCCGAAGCGCTTGGGTGCAAACAGCTATTCATACGTGCAAAAGTTCCCAACACCGCTAGAGGGCGCTGTGAAACGCTGCCAGCGTTAAACAGAGGCGCAAACCGCGACCTCCCGGAAACCGCAGGAAGCACATTGTGCACTGGACGTGTTATAAAAAAAATAGTACAGAGCACCCAAATAATAACATAAATGAATACTTGGTTCTAAAAAGGAAACAATAAATGAAAATATACTATATCTAAAGCTATATATATTGAAAATGTATGCACCTTTCTGTAAAAAAATCTATAGAACATGAAAATGCATTCTTGAGGATTGACTTGCAGGTCATCCTGTGGTTGGGAAGAAAGGGCACCACTGAAGAGCAGGGAGTCTGCGTCAGCAGACAACTGCAATAAAGAATGAACACCTTGTCGATTTAAAATACCTATGTGTAGATACGGTGTGCTGCTGCACGAATACGGGGCTGTGAATTTAACTACGACATTTGCATGTATTCATGCGTTTTGTCTGCATTCCACGTGCACGTGCGCATGAATGAGTGTTCTCTAGTGGCGTCTTACCTAGTGAGTACTCAAACCGCATCTACAACAGGGGACGGCAACATATTGACCGCGTGCACAGGGAGCAATTCATCTCGGATGGCGAGGGAATTAAACAAACCCCCCCCATTATAACTCCACAGATTATTTTCTAACTTAAAGTATGTTTTATTGTAATTCAGACTGGAGACCGATGTAGTACAGTCTACAAAATGTATATCATTATAAAAATTCAAATAAGTATTGTGAGGTTGTACTTTACACCTAAAGAAGCACCTTAACTGTAAGGTAGCAACATGGCATAAAAGGGAAAGAGGGCTAGCAAACCAAGGTCAACGTGTTCAAATTGTAGATTAGATGACACAGTAGCAAATTAGTTCAAGATACTGAACAAACACCAGTCAGATTCAGAGATTAAAAATTAAAATGAGTCACCATCTGGCCCTTTTATGGACTAACCTCAACTAAAAGGCAAAGTAGTTTAAATATTACAGCTTTGGCATCTATAAAATTTCAAGTGTGTGATTGGGCCCTGCGATAGACTGGCATCCAGTCCAGCTGTTGGAAAATACAAAACATTAAGTTCAAGAGCCAACTGTTCACTAGCCAGATATATAATGGTATCCTTGACAAGTGCCATTGTAATGAGATAATCAATGTTTTTCACTTCACCAGTAGGTGGTTCCAATGTTATCACTAATCGTTTTTTTTTTTTATCTAAATCAAGAGGCTTTTTTTTTTTTTTAGAAAGCTGGGTCAGATATTTGCTGGGGTCATTGGGGTCAGGTGCCCAATGATGAAATCACCTGCCAACCCTGGGATTTGAATCAACAACCTTCCGTGCTGAACCACAAACAAGATTAATGAACAGATGTTAGTGTATCATAAATCTTTGGTATTTAGGTAGCTATATCATTTAGTACAGCACTATAACTACATATTGACATATGCAAATTGAAAATGTAAAGACACACAGATGCTACTGAAACAAATATCCACATGATTCTGCCTGGGTGTCAAACATCCATTTTTATGTTCTAATAAGATAATCATTTTTGCGGAGTTGTCATGTGATCTGGTCTTTTAAATTGAGGATTCTGCCTGTCAGCCTGAACCATTTGGATTAGGGGCGGAGCTAAATCCTGCAAAAATGAGTACAGCACATCATGCTTTATCACTACTGATTTAAACGCGAGCAGCAGCAATCAAACAAAACCTGTTATATGTTGCATCTGACAGAAATACTAATCAGTCAACATGAGACAAATTGTGTGAAAGGTTAGATGGTTGGTAAAGATTAGGGCCTTTGTACTTTGTACAAACCATCGCAAAGTGCTCCAGGAACTGTCTAAACATTTATGCATGTGTATGAATTTATATATATCATAAAGATTAAAAAAGCCTTTATGCTATCGGGGAGTACGCAGTCATTTTCCTTCTAAAGACAAACTATAACCAGTATGCTGAAATGCCAAGATAATTCTGAACCAGGTTTAAAATTAGATCTGTTTGAAAACAATTTTCGGCAAATACCTTTCCTTAGTATTTCATTCTTGATAAATCCTGTCTACATTTGCAAAATAAATGGATAATATAAAGTAATAAAAAAAAAAAAGTCAAATAAGTTTAGGTGATCATGTTGGTATACATAAGCTTTTACCAGACCCGGGTGGTGGAAGATATCGAATCAGGTCAGGGTTATTTTTAGTTATAAGAGGAATGCGACAGCCAGATTATCTGCCTTTTATTTGTGACAAAGCTAGAAACTATATCTGTTAATCCAAACTGAATATTTAGCCAGCAGTCAAACCTATTTTACAGATGGTGTCACTATAGTGACATTCTGAGTGCGTCCTGTTGGCAGGACAAGCCAGTCCAGTTGTCTTCCTACTAGCTCCTCCACGACGTTTTCACCCTTCGTTTAGCATTCCTGTGCTTCTTCCTGTACTCCTACATACACATTTAAATAAAGTTATAGTCATTAAGAAAGACTGTACCCTTCATGAGTTGACAATTCATTTAATATTATAAAATACTCATAATCAGAGCAACTTAGATAAATGAATTTTAAATGACACAGCTGACTTGTATGAAGACAGTTACCTCAATCAACAATGAACGAGTCTCCTCCCACGTCTCCCTCTGCTCTTCTAGGTTTCCCATTCGGCAAAACATCTTAGGTCCTTCTGAGCAACCAACCCAAAGCAGGTGGGTGGAGAGAACGAGAGTGTCACACACAGCAGGTTCCGCCCACATTGAATATTGGCCACACCCACATTTGTTGATGGACACACAGCACATTAAGAATTGTGGGATACACATACCTTTCAGCCTTTCATCATCTTCAAAGAAAAAGAAAAATGTTTTCTTCGGTTGTCCCGGTCCCCTGAAATAAGCAATTTTTTTTTTAAATTTAAGTGGCTCTCCCCATGTCAATGTAAAAGCTGGTAGGCAATGGAAGACTGGTTTACTCATTGGAACTGGCTGGCTGAGGCTGATTTTCAGGCTCCTTGTCCTCCTGGTTCTCCTCCTCCTCCTCCTCCTCAGAGCTGCTGTCTTGAAAACGGGGATCGGCTTGCCATGACACCTTTGCTCCTTTCAGCAGCTCCACCTTGTAGTCGTCTGAAAGAGCAGAAAGGTGAGAGATTTTTTTTTTTTGGGGGGGGGGGGGGGGGGTGGTTTCTATTCCCCCCCCCCACACACACACACACAACAATGCCTGCAAAGTTCCACAAACAAAAACCAGTCTTAGTGCCCATGATCTAAGCATTTCAATTTTTTAAAATTAGAACGTGCACCAGACATGCTTATGCAAAAATCATATTAATCTGGCTGGTTTTTCCATAAAAGCTGCTCAGATTAACTCTCTGCAAGAACCTCTCCTTGAACTTGATTCAGGGGCCATTCTAACACAAGGCTCCGATCTTTCCCGGCAATCTAACCTTTCACAGTGGTATCCTCCACCGGGTCGTCGCCGAAGAATGAGAATTTGAAGCCTGACGATTCGGTTTCAGTTGCATTTCCAGCTGTATTATCCAGCTCTTTCGTCGTCTCTTCGTCCTCTTTATCCCACGCTACAGAATCTTTCCCATCAGCAATGTCTGTGGGTCCGAATACCTCTTTCAGGTCCACCACCACATTGTAGAAGATGTCCTTGGACACTTCGGGGAGTTTCTCCGCCGCCTCACGTTTCTTACGCCTTGCGGCTTTGCTATGGCGCGAAAACGAACAGGGAGACATTTATTTTACAAAGCTGTTCACCCATCGGCATGGGATTCCTGCTGTCTTGGGACTACGGTCCTGCACGGGCAGGATGAGGTGAGCTGAATACACGCCGACACACAGCAGTGGGCTAAGCCTGTGTGCCTGTAATCAGAAGGTCGCCGGTTCAAACCCCAGCTCCCTGGGCACCACTACAGGTTACTCTAAAAGAGCAAGTTGAGGGAGGCGTAAAAACAATTTCCCCATTGGGATCAATAAAAGTATGAATTATTATTATTACCCTTCTTTCTTGGGTTCTTCAGGTTTTGTTTCAAAAGCTGCATGTTCTTCTCTAGTGGGATCATAGTGTAAGGCTGACATATCTCTGAAGGGACAGAAGTCAAAACGTTAAAATGATCAGCAAAGAAAATGCTGTAGAACTCCCACAATATGCAATGTCGGAATTTCTTTGAACTCGGACAACATCCGACACACGTGCACCATCAAACAGGAAATCCTGACAGACTCCAGGAGCCTGTAGGTGCCATATAATGAAAATAGGACTGACTTCGACAAAGTTAAATAAGGAGAGTTCAATACATGGAATTGACACACTGTGAATCTCAAACACGCTCTTTGAAATCCGAATCCTGCATATGTCAAAGGAGGAGGTAAAATGGGCTGATTCAAAAATCCTAGACCGTTATGTAAGCCTTAACTACACCCCCAAACTTAACATACACCAGTCCACTTTCAAGCCCAATGGACCTGCAAGGGTGTGCATGCGCAGTTTCCACAAACTGGCGAAGAAAAAAACATATACTGACAGCCATTAACGAAAGGTTATTTATTACTAGTATGATAAGAAGTCCTGATCAGGGGTAGGTTTCCCAAAAGCTTACTTGCATTGTTCCAGCTGTGTAAGTTGCCCCCATAACAAACAACATTAAACATGAATCTGGGATACTGACATTGATGAGACTTTTGGTTAGCTAAGCAAATACCTACTCAATATAGAAGTACAAATAAAATAATTAAAAGTCCAGATTCGTCGCAAAATTTACCAGCTGCTCGGCTTGCTGTCTGCAGTCCTTGACAAAAACTGCATGACGAAGCATCGTAAAATCATTTGTTGACTGAGATGCAAAATAATTTCCATGTTCTTGTTACAACGCTAATAAAGTTATAACTATGCCGAAGTTTTACGTGGGAGTGCTACGGTTACGTGTGGCAAAGCAGAAGGAGTACACTGTAAAAAGTACAGGATAGTAAATGCATAAACTGCTAACATAGTTGTTTATCATGGGGATGCACGTAACTGGTACGCAAGTACACATTCACTGCTGCATCCTAACCTTTATACAGCTAATGTGTGCTTCATTCTTGGTATAAAGGTTAAAATTCATGGTCATTTCTTGCACAAATGCATACAAAATAAGTACGCATTTGCGCTGTTACTACAAAAAATTGCTGCACATATTGCTTTATATGGCGAATGCATACTTGCGCACCTTATGTACATCCCGTTTCATTTTATTATGTACTGTACATTACTGCATGCGATATAGTTATACACGACTGGCAGGCCAGTAGGTTTGTTGACATAGCATCACCACGAACACGAGTAATGCGCTGCGCTATAACGTTATAGGGGATAGGAATTTTTCAGCTCTGTTATAATCTAATGGGACCACGATCACATATGTGGTCCGTTGACTGAAACGTAATACAGTGCTGTTGTAATGCAGACTGTAGAGATGCTGGTTCTGTATGAGCCATTTCAGTGTCGCACTATCAGCCAATCAAAATACAGCTAATCAACATATTAATGAGCCCACCAAATAAGGGAAAACATCCTGTTTCATTCTTGGGCCAAACAGGGTTCTAAATGGGCCTGTAAAACCATTTCTGTACACTTTCCATCCAAACTATGTTCACAGAACATTTCAAAACATTGAAAAATACATTCTATGACACATTTAAGCTAATCCTTACCTAAATGTTCTGCTCTTTACACTTTCTTTGCTTGTCTCAGAAGCCTGCAGGCCAATGTGCAGAACGCTTTCCAAGATATTTAGATTCTTCTTTTTTTCCTCTTCCAGCTCTACCTCAAGACCATTGCAAGACTTGTGATCTTTATTGAAAATAAGAAAGAATAAAAAGTTTAACAGTCAACATGAAAACGTGATTGTCTTCTGTGCCCGAGGTATTAGAAGAGATTTCCGCAATAAAACCAAACAACATGATCCAACCAAATGGCTGAAAAAGAATATGTTTTTTTTTTAGCATATTTCCCCAATATTTTTTAGCATATGTGATTATATATTGCAAAATAAATGAGTATTTAAGGCTGGTAGACAGCTGATAAACTATTCATTTCAAGTCTCAGCATAGACACAAAACATTAGTATCACCTGCAGCCTGACCTGCAGTACTGGCCTCCTGTTCACTTTCCAGAAATCTGGAATCCATGCGAAATCTCTCGTCAGCCCCAAATCTGGACTGCAGCTTCATTAGCTTCATAGTGGAAAAAATTGGTAACATCACTTTCCTTCTGGGTTTTTCCCCCCATACACTTATGCATTTTCACACCGACAATTTTTATTTCTTTAGCACAGGGGTGGCAAAGGGCCGGTGTGTATGCGGGTTTTCGCTGCGACTCCCTAATTAGATTACTAATTAGAGGACTGATTGGCTGAAGAGTCCTCACACCTGGGTTTGGATAGCTGGACCCTTTGCAGATAAGATTGCCCACCCCTGCTTTAGCAGATGTTTTTATTTAAAGCAATGTGCATTTTTGAGACAGCAGCATCAGGCAGTAACTGCGGGTAAATGACCCAACACTGAATTCACTCTGCCAACCCTGGGATTTGAACTTGTGAGATTCCGATTACAGGCACAGCCTCCTAATCCACCGAGTGACTGACCACCAAGCATTCTCACCTTCTGTCCAGCCTCGCCCTCAAACTGGGGCTTGATCTGAAACCTCTGATCATCTTCTTCATCATCATCCTCATCGCTGAGAAACAGTTTGCTGCCTCCCTGTTTCTGAAATTCCTATATAGGAATATATTAAAAAGTTAATCAATTAAACCAATGAAATTAGTGAGATTTGCTTTAACTGATCTTCGCACATTCTAGATCTTTTTTCATGCAGACACCTGACAATTAACACCAAATCTTTACAGTGGTAACTGCAAAAATGCAATCATTCACTGACAATAACAACACAGAATTATGATAAACTTAAATAGCTTACAAAACATACCTTGACAGTCAAATCTTTGCTGGACTGTCTGAGTTTGCCTGGTTCCACTTCGCTAGCACTGTCTTCAGACAACTCAGAGCTGTCCTCAAACAAGGTCTTTCTTGGGGTTTCAGTGGCAACCTGTGCCTCCTCTTCGCTTTCGTCATCGGAGTAAAACACTATGTGTTTGCCTTGACTGGTCCCAGGTGTGTCCTTAGGAAAAAAGAGAGATGATTGAATGAGCCGATTTTCCTGGCTCATTTCATTATGCCAAACTTATAGCACTTGGCTGAACCAGCAAAACTTACCAATTTGGACAGGGCGCTTTGGATGAGCTTCTTCTGCTGCTCGGCCTCCTCCTGTTTCTGCTCCAGGGCCGCAAGACGTTTCTGGTTGTCCTCCTGTTGCTTCTCAGAGGTCCGTGTGATCCCTGGATACTGAGGAGTCTTATTACGGGGTTCCGTCTTCTCCGAATAAGACTCAGGCATTTTTGGAAGCACAATATCTTTAATGTGACCATGGTTCCCTTTGGAATCCCCGCTTGCTGGAAACTGGGTATCCGACAAACTGGGCTGAGATCCGCAGCTGTGTGCATTATTGGTTTTTACTTTTTTTTTAGGTTGTTGTTTGGACTTTTTGGGTAATCGTTCGGTTTCTTCATCCTCTGAGCTGCTGGACTCCTCTGATTTTCCATTCTCTCTCTTTGTTGCCATGCCGCCGACAAATGACAAGGGTTTTGAATTCACCGCTTTGTCTTTTGGCTGATTTGTTAGGGTTTCTACGTCGCTGCTTCGCTTTTCTGAGGGTACTGAATCTGATGAGGAATCCAGTGCTGGCTCTGATTCAGATTCCATCATCATGAAGTCCGACTGCTTTTTTCTTCTCACGTTAAAGTCCGGTTGAGCCCCATTCATTAGCCCGAAGAGGGACTTTGTTCCCATGAAGGAAGGAAGGCTCAGGGATGAGGTTTTCCTCTTCTTATTCTTTTTCATTCTATCACACATCTCATCGCTACTGTCATCTGCCAAAATAGCCGCCAAAATAGCATCGGGTGTGTTGCCAGTCGTTGCTGCTAATGGCTTTGTTTTATGCGGCAATACCACTTCTGAAGACTGACTAGGTTCCTTGTGTGAAGTAGGCCATTGGCAGTCCTCTTCAGAACTGGCTGAAGGCCCTTTCGCCAGGTTTTCCAAATCCGCTAGAGAAAGCTCGAGCCGGTAACAGTTGGCCATCATAGCCTCATAATCTGAATCTTCATTCCCACTGGAGTCGTCTTCATCAGAGCTTGATTTTCCACTCTGACTAAAATCCCCAGTAATGAGTTTACTGGCCTTTCTCTTTCCTCTAGTTGCTTTAGTCTCACTATTCTTCTCCAGTTCGGAATTTGGACCATTTATAGTTTCAGTAATTACTTTTTGGTTGCCAGAACTTCTGCGGTTGGACAGAATTTCATCAGTATCTGCTGAATCATAGTCCCGCTCGTTGTCTAACTCTTCAGAAATGTTGGATCCCCGGAACTGAAGAATATTTGGAGTCAGAACAAAATCATCACCAACCACTTCCAGCTCAACTTCATTTCCCAGACTCATTTCCAAACTGCGTGCATTTTCTGATGCAACCAACACTTTAATTTCTTCCTCTGAATCAACATCACTGTCCCACCAGTGTGAACATTCACGATTTTTCTTTTTGGGTGCTGAAGAACCACGATTTTCAGAAAAGTCTTGCAATACATGAACTTTACCAGCACCATTCAGTGACCTTCTCTGGTTTTCTTCCTTTTGTTGACTGCCAGGCACAGCTCCCGAATACGATTCCATCAAAATTTTGCTCACTGAATTTTTCCTGATCTTCGCAGGGAGTGATTTCTGGGGCGGGAATTCTCCTCTTCTTTTCTTGCTAATTTCATTGTCGGCATCTAGTATTTCCCAAGTTAGATTTGACACGGGAGTCTCAGTTGTCACTACAGTTTCCAGCTTCTTGATGTTGTGGCAGTGTTTTGAAGGATCATATTTAAAAACGTGCTCCAGTTAAAGTATAACACACACAGAAAGCCTGACTCAGCAACACAGTACCGCACAGTAGTCACAGGGCACTCCTCTGACTCCAGGCAAACATGTCAGCTCAAAATGCACAATTTTATATTAAAAATTGCCTTTCTAAAGGTTAGCATAGAAAGTTAGCCTCCGGCAAAATATCTGTTTTCTTACAGCACCTAAGCAGCTGCTAAAGTTAAATTTGGCCAAAACACAATTAATTTATTTGCATTTATCTGTAATAAATTAGACCTAACCCATCGCTTTTGGCAGTGTTCTGTTAGTAACAGTCTCACTTAACAAATAAAGTGTATAACACTAAATGGAAAGCTACAACATCATGATAACTTACAGCAATGTACTGTACCATAGTAACCTATTAGAACTATATAAAATGATACAGATGGAAGCCACAGAGTAACAAAATAATATAATTACCATTTATTGTTTATAGTGTAAAGCGAGTAACCACGAAAGGATATTTTTTTCTTGACTTGATTTTTGAGATGAAGCACTGGGAGAACTCGCCCAAATTTACTTACAACCCAGTCCTGTGAAGAAAAACAAAATGAAAACAGCCATTAAACCATAACAGGGATGAACTACCTAAAAAACCTATTAACTATATGTGCATTTGGTCTGTTTCACTATTGCAAGAAACTGATTTACTGAATACTTCCCTAACGCTGGATGTGAAATTCTAGAAGACACATCTGACATACTGCCAACTAGCAGAAGCCTCCATAACTACTAGTATCTACTTGTTACCACTAACTTTAATAACTTAGCGCTACTGTAGCAGCAGCAATAGTAGTTCTAGCTGAAGCATACTAAAGGTGAAGCATATTAAAGGTGAAGAATGTAGGAAAGAGGGGAAAAACACAAAAAACCTTATGGCCTGGAATCTCAGTTCCTGGAACAGCTGACTTCATGTGGAAGTTCTCTACGCCCGCCTTCTTAAACGAGTCCATCAGTGTCTCTTTTGGATCCACTTTAGAAGTCTGAGTCTTCGCAGCTGCTTGCTGACGTTCTAAGGCCAGTCTATGAAAGGAAGGTTTGTTTTTTTTTTGTAGGAAATCTTAAAGAATTCTCTAAGTACCAATAAATTAAGTCTACAGCAACCAGCAAATGTATTTTGTAACTTGCATCCATCCATTTTCCATATTTTCTAATTTCCATTCATCCATTTTCCATAACTACTTATCCAACAGAAAGTAATGAGGCAGGGGAAGATCCTGGATGGGGTTCCAGTACATTGCAGGGCACACTCACACATTATGGGCAATTTAGAGATACCAACTTAATTAACTGCATGCTTCTAAACTCCAAAAGGAAACCCACAAACACAGTGTATAACATTTGACAAAAAGATGTCAAAGGGTTGGGTAAGGCTTTAAACTCTCTGCCCCAGGAGCAAATCAGTAGCTGCAGCATAAGACACAATAATATGTGGTTATGGGTTACTATCCATTTTTAGAACAATATTGTTTTTTTTTGTCTCCACTAAGGTTTTTATTAGTTATGGTTGCTTGAATGAATGCTGGCCTCCCTTGTTTTGAAAGATTTTTTGGAGGCGTAACAGTACTGAAAATAATATATTTATCTTCAAACCTTAAAGCTTAAATACTTAATTTCATTACTATTGTTCATTTTGATTCTTCAATATTCATGGCTTTTTAACATACCTGTGTAAAAAACTCTCCTTTGCCACTTCGATTTGCAGTGTTCCACCCTTCCATCTGGACTTATTTAATACTGTCATGCCTAAAAACGATATAAAATCAATTGACAAAGAAAAATCAAATGCATTCCTTAAGATAAAGTATTATCTAGAATCCGCAATGACATACATTTTTTTAGACTTGCATCAGAAATGTTTATGTTGATATAACCAAACGTCTTCAGTGGGGCACCTATAGGGAAAACCATAAGGATTAGTAAACAACAAGGTTTAGTGCAAAGGGTCTGCAACAATGCTGGTAGCAGGCTGTTAGTCTTACCTGTTAAATCTTGCCTTGTTAGGATTTCAACATCTGACACCTCACCAAATTTCCCAAATCTGTCTTTAATGTCCTTCTGAGAAATGGTATGGCTAAGACCACCAATGTATAAACGCTTTACATCTTTCACATCCTGCATTTTAAATTATTAAACCTATTTTTACTTAATTCATAAATATCAGCATTAGATGACAACAGGAACTCTTCGGAAACAATCGTCGATGTTCGATTTAATACTCCACAAGTCCCCGCTAGTTTTATTGCAATACGTAAATCTATATCTGAACGAAACAATCACTAGAAATGACAAAAACGACTAAAATAAAAGAAACAAAAAGATTTCACATAACCCAAATCAACTATTTATAAATGCCTACAAAACTACAATTACCCCGCAAAATCAAGCGGACAGACACATGCGTTTACAACGGTGTGTACATCGTGCTTTCAAAATACAGTCCCATCAGAACTCCTTTACCGAATAATGGGTCCGCTTTGAAGGTTCCGTCAATAAATTCTTATTACTAGAAGAAAAAGCTTATTTACTAAAAGGCGTAAAACAAAACAAACATATAATAAAGCAAATTAAATAGATGTATATTCAAATAAAATTGTTGTTATCGATATTCGTTAATTCAAGGTAGGTATATTTTACAAGTTAACTACAGCAAAATTATGTAAGCTAGTAGTATTTATTATTTCTCTCATTTATTACTTTTTTACGAATTAAAAATGTATATTACAGACAATTTAATAATTATAAATGCATATATTTATTCATTATTTCGATGTAATCGAAAGAGTAACGTAGTAAAATGTACCCCCCCGTTTTGGTGAAGTTGGTAGAGTCCACTCTGGGCGCGCAGTTCCGCTGGTCTTCAAAATAACCTGAAAGCGGTAAGTCTCCAGTGTTTAAGTTTGTTGGCTTTTAGTAGTTTTGCCGTTGACTTAAAATGTTGATTGATAATTGTTGTGAACACGCATGGCATATTTCTGCTGTCGATTAGTGAAAACCGTATATGCAGTTTGAGCTGTGAAAGGGATGCAGAAAGTGTCAGCCCTCCGCTGACACTGCAGCCTTTGTAAACGGCCACGAATGTTAATTTTGCTAAGCGAGTGTCACAAATAAATATCGCCAGTGTTATATAGTAGTTTTTAAACAACACGAGATTGAGCTGTCTTTCCAGTTTGTACCAAGCAAAGTGGATCAAATCTTCCGTTTTGTGTCTGAAAAATTACAGACGAGCTTTGGTTAAGTTTTTATTCGACTTACAGTACACTGGATATTGCTACAATCTATATGTAGTTGATAGTTAAATCCAACGTACACATACCGCCTTGCCCCCTTAGTCCGTTCCTTTTTGGGACAGGCTAAAGTCCCCTACCGACCGTATACTGGATAAATGCTTATAGAAGATGGGTGGCTGCACATATTGAATGACATTGTGAATTGTCATAGCAGTGAAACCACTGTATTAAACAACTCGATCTTATTTCCATTTAAGAGTTTCAATCACTCAAATATAACCCTTGTATTAAGATATGTTGCGTATACACACAGAAGGCTGCTTCAGTTCATTACCACTCACAGGGGTTGTGTCCAACAGCTCCCTGTTCTAGAGAGTACTCCTTTATTTCAGATTTCACATTAAGTGTGGTTAAGCACATGGTTGTACAAATCAACTGAGAGAGAGAGAGAGAGAGAGCGAGCTATACAAGCAGATGTACTGCTGAGAACTAACAGTGCTCCGGGTCTGGAACTGGGGTGGTTTAATTAAGTTACACTTCACCATACAGGAGCCATCATAGCTGGCCAGCTGTTGCAGATATTTCGTGCATTTAGTTAAGGGTGCTACCCATTATGTAGTAAAGTTTGATAGTGGGATACAACAGCAACGCAAGTCCATTCTTTCCTGTTCTAATTCCATTACTGGTGCTAGAGAACTGGCCAGCTGTTCTCTCTTAAGATTAAAAAAGACTTGCTGGTAGTGAAAATGAGTCTTTTTCTTGTAAAAACTCCAAGCCACATTTTTGTGCCTGTGTATCCTCACAGATCTTGAAATGCATGAATATTTGTAATATATTTTCATTTAATCCCAAATATAGAAAGCTATGGAGGAAGCTTATGAAGCAGAAATTAAACTTCTACAAGAAGAAATTGCAGAATTGCAAGAACATCTGGAAAACAATGAAAGAGAGGTCTCTTTGCACTTTGATAAGGACATACCTAAACTTTTGTAAGTTAACCGTTCTTTGTAATTTGCACAATTATTATTTATTACTTGCTCCCTGTCAAGCCAATGCTATTTTGTGTTTAGCAGAGAGTTGTTATGTATAAACAGAGGTGGAGATTTCAGGTCCAGAGAGTACAAATCCAGACCAAGACTTTATTTCAACCAACCAGTTTAATATGAAGAGTCACAGTCACAGTGTACTCAACTGGTTGGTTGAAACAAAATCTTGGTTTGGATTTGTGCTCTCTGGACCTGAAATCTCCATCTCTGTATATAATGTGTGTCTAACAAACCAAGTGATTTATCATGGTGTCAGTGACCCTTGAGGACAATGTGAATGTGCTTATTTCAGGACATGTCTAAGGGCAAAGTCAACAACAGGATATGGGGAAGGTAAAATGGATACAGCTTCAAATCTTGTGATGGAATTGGAGAAGCTGGAGAAAGATCTTGCCCGCCAGACTAAAATGAACGGAATTGTTCTGACAGAGTGCAGAGTGAAGACCCTGGAAAAAAGTGAGTTAATCCTAAATTCAGATTTTACCATTCTGGGTCTTTGGCTATGAAACTGCAGAGATTGTAGCTGAAGACTTGGTTCATCATGCAGTAACCACCTTACTTTGACATTGTAAAATTATTCAGTATCTTGGTTGCCTATAAATAAAGAGTTTAGCAAATAATTCCATCATTTCTGTTTCCAGATAAAAGCAAAATTATCCAGCAACACAGGCTTACTGGTTACTGCTGTCAACTGGCTTTCCAGGTAGAATTTGAGTTGACAGATGTTCAGGTAACTATTATTATTTTTTATTTCCTGTACAGTATTGTGTATATGCTCTTAATGTATACTTTTTTTTTTGCTAAATTTCAATGTACTTTATCACAATTTATTTTTTTCAGTTATTGTGCTATGCTTTTTGATACATGCACTTTTTTTGTATCCTTTCGACTGAGACCATTGTGTGAACCATGAGTTGCCATGTTGGTTTCCTAACACAAGGGGGTAGTGTGAAGCCATGTACTTTTTTCATGGAAAATCTTTCTCTAACTTGTGCTTTTCCGGTTGGACGTGTGAAATTTAAAGAACCAAGAAAACTGGACTGTTTTGGCATGGTATCTGTCCTTTAGCTAATGCTGTGGTTCAGTGTAGCATATGTCCGTTTGTTTTATGTTGCTACAAAACCTTCCCAGAAAGTGTTTCTGTCTTAGCTGCTATATAAAAAAACAAACTTTTTTTTGTCACTTGATAGAATTAATTGCATTTGTATATATTCATGTGTTTGTATGGAACAAATGCACAACTGATAAAAGCTTTGACCTTATAAAAATGATTTTTTTTTGTAGCCTAAGTGGAATTTCCACACACACTACGTTAACGTTGAGTTGAACATCAATTTTTTGTTGTGCCTTAAACATTTAGTTAGAATTCTCCGAACACTTCCCTGAAATCAAATGTCCTTTATTTGCAGGAGAACAATGGCCCTAGAACTGTCACCAGCCTTAATATAGTCATGGATGGCTCTGAGTTTGGTGAAATCAGCACTTTTGTGTCACAGTAAGTACTGCAGTGCAGAATCCTCTTTTTGTATTTTTTGAAATGATGGAATGTGATTGCCTCTCCAAAGCATCCTAAAAAGTGCCTTCTAGACAATCATTGTGTACTTGAACGCCCCTCCTTGAACTAAGTATGTAATATTGATTTTTCCAGCATTGAGCTGCTTCCTAAGATCCTGAGCTGTTATAGCTTTTGGCAATAGGCGTAAATCAAATGCTAATAGGGTGAAGCGAATCCAGGTCTGACAGCTGCAGGAGTGGCGGGTCTGCGGAGGGTTCCAGTAGAGAGACGCATGGACAGCATCAGCCGCTGCTGATGTGGAGCCCGCGAGCTCACATCTGGCCTGTCAGGCGCTCTGGGAGCTTCGTTCCCGAGAATTCCTCTCCTGGAATGAAAAGAAACCAAACTTCCTCCACCGTCCGGTCCTGCTAAAGGACCATATAATAAGAGGCATTGTTTTCTACTGGTGGGGGAGGTGGAGCCTCCTCTGCCCTGGTTTTCAGATACTTCTCACGGCCTCATGAGCGCCCCCCCCCTCCTTATTTAAAAAAAAAAATAAAAATTCCAGGTCTTAATTTGCAAGGTGATATATTTTATAAATATGTTCAAATACTCATAGTTCCGATGTAGAGGCCGGTGCCAGGGGGGCTGTAAAACCGAGCTTTACCGCAGAACGGAGTCTCCTTTTTGATGATACGTCAACGTATCTGCATCCCCAGGCATCTTCTGTAATGCTATGGTGATATGTTTTCAAGACTTGCTCTTGCTTTTTTCTTTTCCTGTGGAAAATTCTCTGATCACATAAAGGCACATAACAGAGCATTGACGTGTCTCCTGAGCATAGGACCGGGCATTGACCATGGCAACTCAACGTACTTCTAACTTCGGACTACGGACACAAAAGAGCAGTCAAAAACCAGGTGGATCTCTTGAATGTGATGCCCACCCTTTTTAATTTGCTTGACAAAGCCAATACATGGAAATTGAAAAGGATGTTACATTTTGAATGTTAGTTTATGCAGTGGTGTACCATCTTTTGTCTGGCAGTGCTGTCGGTGGCTTGACATGGAGCAGGTGTCGAACTTCGTATGACACGAGCTTCTCATTTGTGGTCCTGCTCTGGAGAAATACATTGGTTTGACAAGTTGTTGTGTTCTTTCTACTAGCAACACCAACACACCTGTTTGGCCCTTGACAGCACAATGAGGCCATGGTCCTTAGCTTGCCTCCATCAAGCGAGACTTCTGGCAGATCTCCTAGCTAGACCAGAGAACTACAGGTCAAATCAAGGTGTGGTGTAGCAGTCAGGGCATAGTGGTCTCTACATAAACAATAAAAATATATTAAAATTGAGTTGTAATGAGTTTACAGAAGATTCTTTGGGGTTTCTTGGGACTGCTTGTATGACCTGCATTGAAGGAGCCTTCAGCCTTTGATCCAATGGCAGGCAGAGGTTTCTTGCATTTCCTGTCCTAATTCTATCTGGTAGCTAATTCCAACATTGAAAGTCAAGAGAAGTGATGAGAATGAACAGCAGTGCTAGAGATGCATGACATATCTTTGACATATCAGTATTGGCTGGTGTTCGTTAATAATTAACACACTGGTGTCAGTCCAATGTGTCAATCTTATTAGATATCGCCGGCCGATATTTAGACTTTAGCTCTGGTGCTGCTGATTTTGAATTATTGAAATAATGGAGGTGAATATATTTGACGATGAGCCGTTTTCTGTGGTGGAGAACAAGGCATTTCGTCGGCTGATTCACTGCTTGGAACCTCTCTACAGTTACTTTGCTGATGTCTCGCTGCCTGCATTGTATAATATGTTGACTACCACCTTCTCAAGATCTTAAGAAGTAATGTCAGCAACATCAGTTTCACTACGGATTTGCGGAGCTTCAAGGTTAACTAGTTATCATTATTGGTTATCAGTATCCATAATTCTAAACAGAAATATATTGGTTATCGGTATGGGCATATGAGTAGGCGACCCCACATGGCGACCGATGGAGGAGGACGATGGAGCCTTTGAAATCTGATGAACACGTCCGTATGAATGTAGTGCACAGCTGTTCCTCTTTCTGATGAGATGTAGTCGACACGCATCCCATTTCGGTCCATTCTTTCAGTGGGGAAAGTTTACTACTTACATGACTCATAGTACAGCACTAAAACTGGTATTTTGCTGAAATGTTTGAAAATGTTTTATTATTGCACAAAAAATGTAAACGACGGTGCATGAATGCGGGTTGACATGCCAGGGTTGAGTTGACATGCCAGGGTTGAGTTTACATGCCAGGGTTGAGTTTGCTCAAATGGCCGGAGTGCTTAAACAGATACGGGGTGGAGGTGGGGGGAGGGGAGGGATGTAGCCTTGGCAAGGAGGGTTAAGCCATGTTGTTCCCATGTGGGGAATCACGGTGTGAGAGCAGCTGCTCCGTGCAGGAGTTCTGACAGGAGTGCAGTTTGTACACTACACTGACAGTTTGTAAGTCACTGGGCTGTTTTCCTGTTCGGGGGCCTGCATCCTTGTCTAAATTATAACCAGACCAGTTCTTCCATGCTTCTAGGTTGTTTTTCTGTGTTAATCTGACAACCTGATATATCATTTTGCTTCATACTCCCTAATGGGTAACAACTGAGCGTGCAGTGACGTGTGTTCAGTCGTGCACATTTTAAGGTTTTTTTTTTCTTGTGAACCTCATTGTGAGCTACTCTCTGGATGCTACTAAACACTTCTGTGGTATTAATCTGTTTATGAACATTTGCAGGCTTCCATTTAGCATTTTGTGCTAGGGCTGGGCAGAATATCAACTTTTTTATAGTATATCGATATATTTTTGAACGATATAGGATGAGACCATAATGTTTGTATCAGTATACTTTTATTGCGTGTTAAAATTAGGGCTGTCGAAGTTAACATTTTATTGTTACGTTTGCAGTCATACTGTGATATCGTCTCTTTGACTGTTAACACATGTAGTTTTTCGATACCTAAATGGGATAATAGTGTAATCCAAGATTTTTAATAGAGACCTATAGTAGTCCTTGGCTGTAAACAACACAAGAGTTTTGGTTGTGATGTGGCATAGAATCCCAGAATTTACAGCTAATATGTAAACGTTCGGTTTGCCGCATCTGACAGGGAAGGTGATGCAGGGGAAAGGTGAGGAAACATTGTTACTTGGTTCATTTAGTTTAAAATGAATGGCAGACAGCTCAGTGTGTAAAAATATTGCAATTTGCAATGTTTGTTTTATTTTCTATTATTAAGTGCACTTTCAATAGTTGTCAGGCTTCTGTTTTTAGGGTCATTTGCCAAATAGGTTTTAAATTTAGCTTTTGTTCCTAAAATTTCACTTTCTCGGGCCTGTACTACGAAGCTGGGTTACTGTGCAAAATGTAAGTGAATGAATATGAAGTCCATTTAAACTGTGGTACCTTAAATCCAACAAGTTACCCCGAAAAGCCAGTAACCCCGCTTCGTAGTACAGGCCACTGGTGTATCTTACACTTAATCCCCGTCAGAATTCTCAGATGTTCCACCTCCCTGCCATCCAACCTGGCATCAGGACCATCGCTTCAGCATAACACCTAAAAAAGCGCATAACAGGTTGCGAGGTCAAGACTGACGTTACGAGTTACAGCCCTTTCCTTCTGCCTTTGGAGGACTTCTCTCCAATGTTACTTGTTTTGTCTCTTCAGGCTGGTCAGCAGTTACCCCGATAAGCCAGTAACCCCTCTTTGTAGTACAGGCCACTGTTTTGAGAGCAGTGTAAAACTGGGGGGGGGGGAGATAGTGGAGTAAAACACTTTTATGTCATAGCTGCTTTATTTGACACATGCGACAGCGATATTTATGTATCTTTACTTTTGTCTTTATTTTGAGATTTTTGTTTGGAATAAATACATTTCTATACTACATAGTTGTCTGTTTACAAACAGGGAAGGAAATTTTATTTTGACCACATTCTGTTTTAATATAAATGTTTGTGGCATCTCACATGTGGCTTTGATGCACAGTATATCAGTTAACATCTCAATATTGGCCGATGATTGTTTAAGAAGAAAAAAAAGATTTTGAATCATAATTTTGTCTTGGTCAGTATTGCCGGCTGAGAATTAGATTTTGGTTGATATTCAGTGTTAGCAATACCAGAGCTGAAGACATAACTATTAAAATATTGGAGATGATTGTGTTGTAGTGGAGGATGAGAGATTGCGTTGTAGTGGAGGATGAGGGATTGCGTTGTAGTGGAGGATGAGGGATTGCGTTGTAGTGGAGGATGAGGGATTGCGTTGTAGTGGAGGATGAGAGATTGCGTTGTAGTGGAGGGTGAGGGATTGTGTTGGCTCATTTGTGGCTCAGTGTGACGTGGCTTGATGAGCCATCCTTGTTTTTGTGTGAGTGTGCAGAACCACGTGGCTCTGATATCGCCTTTAACAGCCCTGTTGTGGTGTCTGGTGCAGCTCGGTCACTTAGGGAACTGCATCTATGGCCAGAAGGTTGTGGGTTCAAATCTTGTGGCTGGCAGAGACAATTTGTCATCATTGGACCCTTGAGCAAGGTCCTTAACCCCCGACCAGCTCAGGGGGTGTAGGACACTGGCTGGTCCTGCTCTCTGATCCCAAAACTTGCTCTCACCAGTATAAATATGTGTGTGTGTCCTATAAAGTGTAGGAGACAACTGCTCAGTTTTTCCACTAAAATGAATAAAGTATCTCTGTTCCTTTATGTTCTGTCATGTATTTGCCATAGGGTCCTTTCACTGGTTCCCTTAAAGGTAAGGTCAGTGCTCCTGACTGGAACTGATTAATTGTCTTGACCTTGTGACCTTTTTCTTTTCGGGGGGGGGGGGGTTCAGGAAGGCAGTGACCTCGCCTTTAGAGCGTTTGTGGGCCCCTGACACTCTTTATGATTGTGACCCTGATGTTATCCACAAAGCCAGAACTAAACCTCGACTGAGCCTATGTTAGCTTTTGGGGAGGGGTGGCACTCTTTGGTCCTCTGAACCAGGCATGGACTGCACTTCTTGTGGGAGAATGGTGCCTGATTTGCAGTGGCCTTTTAAGCGGTTTTAACGGTGGCATTTATGTTTTATTGCCCTCTGCAGGTTTTTTATTGCTGCTGTTGCTTACACCCACCACTGCAAATTGTTAGAATTTGGGTTTCTAATTTGCTAATTTATCATGTAGCTTCATAATACTATAATAAGAAGTTAATTGAGGCTAATTTGTAAATTATTTAATTGAAATATATATATTGTGCTTTTATTGTTTATTGTATAATATAATTATACCGTACAGTGTTATAATTTTTTTTATAACAAGTATCCCACGTCTCCTACATTGTTTTTAATTTGTATTAATCTAGTGTTTTTCAAGGGTCAGGTGATCCACATGAATGGATCAAACTGGAGAAAAGATACTGATGGTTGTTGATTTCTAACAATTGCTTTAAGAATCGATATTGCCAGTACGTATTTTTATTTGCATTTCAATACAAGATTTAAATAAACGATTGCAAATTTTTTAATGAAATGCTGAATGTGTTGAATGACACGTTATGGTATAAGTTTAATGCACTGCATTTAATGTATTGTTAATGGCATTTTTTTGGTAGCAGCCTTTTGTGGAGGCTGCATTTTGCTGTGTAACCGGGTTGCTGGTCTCTGAACACATCTGGATCACATCGTCTGGTCTGGCTTTTTTGTCCTGGCTCATAGAAGGGAAAAATACTGGAGATAATGATTCTGACACAAGTCTGAGCAGTGTATTTTTATACAGCACAAAGACAGCTTTTACAATAGGTAAATTCAAAATAAACCCGATGATTTAAAAACTTTTAAAAATTTACTGCCAGTGTCTGGCTATTAAATGGCGGCAGAGTTTTTTTTTCCATGGTGTAAAATTCAACAAACAAATATGTAGTTTTTGAAAACAGGAAATGCATAAAAAGTGAAACCATTGAAACACTTCAGTGTTCAGTTTTCAGAAGTAATAATGCATTATAATTCTGAATTATTATATACCATATATTTATGTGAAATGTGTGTCCTCCATAAGCCTCTTTTACCAAAAGCTGCCTGTTGGCTTAAATGACTAATACTAAACATCCTTAAGCCAAAGTTTTTGAGTTTGTGACAAAACGTTTGCCTCTGCCAGACACTCGTCATTTAATGTCTGTATAACAGAAGGAGAAGCCTCTTCTGTTGAAACCATTTACAGAAAATGCTGATAATCCACTTTGCAGCGAGCACCAGTCAGACCCACGTTGGTTTTGAATGGCTTTTCCTGCTTTCTTGCATGTCTTCGTCCAGACCAGGCGATGGAACTCGCTTTCTAGTCCTCACGGCCTCGGTTGTGAATGCTGCGAAATTAGCCGCTGAATATTAGTTTTGTGGCTTCTGACATTTAAGCAACTGGAATGGACCGGTGTCTAACACACCTGTGTTATACCTCCTACTAGCTGGAGTAGACACAGTCAAAGTGGGAGAATAGCTCAGAATTTGAAAGATAATGTATACTAACCAGATGACTATTAGTATGAGCGCATCAAGCATTGCATGCCTAAGTTTGATGGTTTGGTGGTTCATTTTTTGTAGCTCTTGAGTAAAAATTGAATTGTTGAAAGGAAACCTATGCAAGTCCAAGTGTTTATTTGCTGGCATGGACTCTGAGCGCTGCTGCTGCTGCTGTTGTTGTTTGTTTTTCCAGAGCAGAGGACAGCAGGAGCCTTGTAGCTTTCTTCCGCACCCTCCGGCGCTTCTCTGAGTGGTGTGAACACCGCAGCCGGACCTTCAGGCACTTCCAGGTAAGACGCCACCTGCCCGCCACCTTGCCACATTCTCCATGCCGCTGTATTGGGCCGGACTCATGTGCTATCATGAAGTGGGAGGTTTATCTGTATTTGGCTTCTAGCTGAGCCAGTCCAGTGAATCTTTAGCATGCTTTCTCCACCGGAGGGGCAGAAGCGCTGTGGCGGTTCCCCATTCTGAGAAGCGAGAGGATTTTTTCCCTATGTGTACAGAGACTTAATTTGTTCTCTTGCTGGCTCCATGAAAATTTAAAACTGTTGTCCTTAGCTCCGCCTTACACTATTCTTCGCGTACAATGTGGGTTAGGGTTCTGCTCATGTTCAACAAACAGCCTTTTGCAATTGTGTTCTCAAAGTTTGTTTGAAGGCTCAGAAAAATATCTGATGAAAAACCAGGAATACAGAAGTTGGTGGTACAGAGCATGGTTTGTGCATATACCGACTGCTTTAAAGGGAAAATCAAGCATCAGTTGAAAATTTCTTGCCTTCCTAAAAAATATTTTCATAGGATCAATATAAAGCAAGTTGGAATACAAGTTATACAGCCACTATGCTAGTAGCTTGTAGATTTACAGTAGACTATGGAGTATAAAAGTTGATGATAACATAACATTGATGATACGTTTTTGTGCCTGCAAGTTCTAAAGAAATGCATGTATTTTTTTTAAATGAAAGATAAAGAAATGAATATTCATTGGTGTATAATATATTTTAATATTTTTGTAGTGAGAAAAATAAGCAAATTACATTTTTAAATGAATGAATTTTACAAATGACTTCAGGGACACAATGGCAGTATAACGGACAGCAGCTGGGTTTATGGAACCCAGAACTGCAGAGCTGGGGCAGCTGAATAGAATGGTGCCCTGTCAGAGTCAACGGTGCATCCGACTGCCAGCAGCGAATGACGGCCCCCAAAGCCAACGTCAGGTCCTGTACCTGACAGCAGAGCTTTATAGCTGTGGCCAGACATCTGGGCACAAGTCCACCGTTGGGGTGACGCAAGTCTGCCATCAGTGCCAGAGGGCCTGTGGTTTCTCTCAAAACCGCCCATCAAATTTCCAGCTCCGAACGCAGTTGGAATCAACCGGCGAATAGTTTAAAGTTTTAACAGCTTGTGGTTTTGAAGCATTAAAGAAGCAGTGTTAAGCTAAGCAGGACTTATGTCGAGCAGTTAGGCTGATGTTGCACAAACGCTGTAACCTACCTGTTTGCTGGAAAATGCACAGGACAATATTTTCCTGGAAAGTGTTACTGAAGTGACCATTAGCTAAGGTATTTCTATGCTAAGGTTATATCTTTAAGAACTGGACATTTTGAAATCCTTTTGAACATATCGCTTTCTTAAAACATTTCTGTTATATACAGATGGATAGTCGATAATAGGCATCTGGCTGGCAGCCCGCCTTTAAGTGGCCAGTGCGTGATGGACAGGTGGAAACTAGGTGGCTCAAATTCGCTGTTCGTTCTTTGTAAAATATACTTTAACGTTAGACGTTTTCTCATGTGAGATTCATGATCATAGTTTTTCCTTTAATATATGTATTTCACATGTTATTGCCATTGTTGACTTGGGTAGATAAAATTTATTCATATTTGGAAAAAGCTTAAATAAGAGTTTTATATTTAAGAGGGGAATGTTGAATAGCTTGTTTATAATTGGTTTTATAATTTACTTTCTGTCACTGAAATGTCATGATGGAAACATAAAATGGTTTTTGGTTAAAAGGGGAATATAATCCTTTAGAGAAAAAAGAACTATGTAGAATCAAAAGGCAAATGCAATATGGACACAATTCCATTATTTACTTGGAATATATGCATAATTAGGCTGCCAACTTGGCCAGCTTAAAGGAATAATGTTAACCCCAATTTTCCATATTTGCTTGTGTGCAAATTTTTGGACTGGATCAGCTGTGCTCGTCGTTAATAGAAATCCCTTCATATTGAAAATGATCAGCAGAATTCTCACATCAACTCAGAGGTTCCAAGTCGGAACTTTCTCACAGTCCAGAGTGAGAACTGGTTACAAAACTGACCCAAGACTGCTGAGACTGACTCAAAGGATACAGACCTCCCTGAAACATGTTTGTTAATGTAAAAAAGTTCATTTTATTAAAATAATTAAACAAAATTAGCTATGTCACAAACGTTATACCGTACCGCCTACTTGTTCACATAGGTAGTCATTTCTAAATTTATTACTTGCAAGTTCAGAGAAATAATCAAGTGGGGGAAAAACACTTGTGATAGCTTCTCGATAAATCTCTTTGAGTAACTCACATTACAGTATAAGTGTCTTACACATACCTAGTAAGTACATTTTGCTCTTTGAATTAATAAAAGTTGAAATTAAGGTCATTCACAGAAACCCCAGGAAAAGCAAAAAGCTTTTACCTCTTGGTATGAGAGGACAGGAACAGTAATCAACAAAGGATGGGTGTATTTACAATAGAAGGTGGGTCCTGGTCTGTTATTCAGAAAAGCATTTTTTCTAGTCTGTTTTGTAAGTCAAGGAAGTCTGAACAACAATAGCAAAATTCAACAAGTTGATAATTACATGACTTGCACAATGTTTTGATGCCAAATGTAGAACAGAATAGTGACACTGCATAAATTAAAGGCTAGCTTTCAGAAAAAAAACCCTAAAAAGCTACTGGGTAAATTGCACGTATCTGTTTGTAGTTATGCAGTTAGTTTGGAAGACATACTTGACTTCACTGGACTTTGCTAAACTGGGTTTCTCCAAATTCACTTCATTAAGCTATGTACAGAGGTGTTTCAGTAGTATCGTCCAAGGGGCAGCGACTTCAGGCAAATGAAGCTGTTTGGGTATTGGGCTAAGCCAACTGGATTGCCATCAAGTCTGATTTCATTCATTTTTTCCCGGATGTAATGGGTTGTGTTGCCCTTGCAGAACGTTTCATCGCTGATGGTCGTGATGTTGTTGTTCTGCATGCAAAGACACAATGGAGGTTGAGTAGAATTGTGTTGTGTACCCAAAATAGTTTTGTGATGCATATTGATCCTCTCCTTCCTATGTGGTTAGCATGGAAATAAGTCTGCAGGCTATAGGATAGTGAGAAAACTTGCCATCTGGAATAAGGGTAAATGACCAAAGGATAATCTGTTGATGATTTGTGGAACCTGTAGGATACAGGTACTATACTGATTCATTGCATTGCATTGAGATGCATTGCTTTTGAAGTTTGAGATGTTCTTTACCAGTAAGATTGTCTTAAAACTTTGGGGCCCCAGCCATGGATAACTTACCTGTAGATGCACAATGCGTAAGCTCTCTGGGAGTTGTGGGACGGCCTCCAGCTCATTGTTAGCCAAATAGAGGTATTCCAGCTTGTTGAGTTTCTGCAGAAGGAAAGCAAGCAAACTGATTTACTCTAGTCTTCATCACCCATCATTGCCCTCCCTGGAATCTTAATTTTATTCATTCTGACAAAATAATGCCATATCCTGTTCTATAGATCATCTTAAAATATTTATGGGTATTCTTCATGTTTTTATAATGTGTATTTATGTCATATTTACCTTGAATATATTGGCCTTCACACCCTTTGTTCTAAGCCGGTTGTAATTCGCATTGAAGGAGCTCAGTTTCTGTGGCAGCATGGGAAGTTTGACCAGCCTGTTCTCGGCGAGTGTGAGTTCCTCAAGTTGGTTGAGTTTGCTGAAGGCTCCATCCTCGATCTCCGTTATGACGTTTCCCGTCAGGTCGATTCTTTTCAAAGTTACTAGGAATCAACCGATGCATATGCAGTTTTTAGAAAATTCTTCAGCCAATTAATAGTGAATGCTCTGACCTCTATAATAGGTACCTGTGTCTCTTGTTTATACAGAAGAAAATGCTCCACGTTAGCATGTCTATTCTTATCAATGAGCACATCAAATTTGAATTACAGCAACAAACTTGTACAATGTATCTTTAATTTCAGCCGATAATATGGAATATTGAAATGCCTCAACATTAAGGAACTGGTAGCATTATTACAAGACTGCTTACAAATGTCCGCAAAGTCCTTGGCAGTGATCTTTTTGATCTTGTTGTAGCGAGCATACAGGTATGAGGTCTCCTTGGGCAGGGCGGGAACAGAGGTCATATCTGGAACCACCTCCTCGCAGTAGACTGAGCCGGTCAGGCACACACACAGCAGACATGTGGGCAGATCTGCAATAGGTCAAATAAGGTCTTTGTGATTGTGTTGAACTAATAGAAAAGTAAAAGGGACAAAGCAGCCAGGTCATGCTGGAGTCTCGAGTTTGTCTTGCAAACCAGCTGTTATTCGTGGGGTACCGGATGTGTAGTGGCATTCTTTTGGAAAATAAAAAAAACTCAGCAGTTGTTTGGACACCATTAACATCTGTTTCTAAACTGCAGGTATTGGCGTGGCACTGCACACATTCTTTATAGTTGGCCTATAAAAATCAGCCCACCTGTGAATTGCTGAAGTGTTTTCCAGAGCTGTTATGAATAATCTAGAATGTTTTTGGAACGTGTTCCGGTTGATCACAATGCCAAATAATCGTAGCTGTTAAACGCTACTGTAGCAAGTCAGGAGAAAGGTGGGTTGTGCTGAAATGTCTGCCATGAGTCAGGGAAAAAAGAGGCCCTTGGGAGAGTCATACTCTCAAAAAAAAAAAACACACACACACACACACACACACAAACAATGCTCATGGCTATACAGCCGAGCACCCGGAGAGTATGCAAGAAGGCAGCACATACTTGGCGTCATGGAGAGAAATATACACACAGGCATGTATGCGAGCAGCGTCTGGCGGGTTCCTTTTGGCCGCCTTATAACCGACATGTGACCGCTAGCGCACGCCGCACAGAGCTAATAAATCAGGCCTGTCTGGTGGCAAGCCGGGAGTCAGGCCAACTCACCACTGCTTTCCCCTACAGCTGGGTTTCCAAAGGGGTCGTCCGGCAAGTCGGCAGGTGGGAAATCGGCGGCCTCCTTCTGTTAATCAGTTTCAGGATTAGTCAGAAGTCCAGGCCTGACGACCCACATGCATTTGGAGACTGAAACCGTAAACAGATGCCAGGTTTGACCTCCCACCAATTCCTGATGTGCTGCCTGAAATGAAAACCTCATTATTTGGTCATTATTACTATTCTAATTTATCTGTAAAAATAATAATTGAGAGCATAGCTAAGGCTGAGACTTGATCACGAGACAAATAAGTTACTTTGTAAACACTTCATATGTTACTTGCCATAACTCCAGTGCTGTGTGGTGAACTTACACTGTTTGTATTAGTGTTATTATTGTGGCCTTAATCCAACAAAAAGCACTCATGTGTCATAGCTCAGACAGAATAAAACTCTCTGTAGTCTTATGTGTATCATTTTGAAAGAGGAAGAAGCTCCTGCGATGGTCTTTAGTTGATTGTAGGGTTGTTTGAGATACCAGATGGTACAGCGGCAGCCCATGCCCTTGGGAAAGGCACATTTGGGTGGCCTTTTTGGGCTCCAAGTCATACTCCAGTGAGCAAGCAATAACAGGTGTCAGCATTTCCCAGGCACACCAGCTGGCTGACTGATCCCAGATCAGAACAGTGGCCCAGATTTAAGCAGAGTACTGCTGTTTGCAAAGATGGAGATGGTCGAGAAAGACACGACAGCATGCTCAGTGCACCACAGCAGCAGCTGTGAGGGCTCATGCCTGAATGTCTCTGGGCTCGGCTGTAGTTCAGCAAACTTTTTCTCTGGCCTCTCACATTTTGGTTTGGATGGATCACCAAGCATTATGAGGACTTTCTCTCCCCAAAAGAATGGAAATCGTCACCTAGTTCTCAAGCCCTGTAGTACACATACCTATATAAATATTTTTATTCATGTGTGTACAGCTATGATGTTCCTTCCATTAAATTAATATAGGTGTTGTTAAATTATAAATTGGGTGAAGACATATGCAAGGTTATAGAAATAATTTGTATTTTTGTTAATTTATTTGTATATTACAAACAAGATGAAAATACATGTATCTTTGCAATAATATGATTTCAAGAAAAATGTCATTTTTCATGTAATTTCACTGCATGTTATATTCTGCAGTAATTAGATGTAATCTTGAACATGATGACCTGTGTCAACCAATAATATAAAGTACAAAACGTAGCTGTATTGCCATGCAAGCATATGTTGTCGCTAGGATGTCCGACAATTATAGCAGTAATTAAAAAATTATGAATGACATAGACGTATGATACTGAGGAAAGAAGCATATTGCCCTGCAAGCATCCATCAGATGTATGCATATTGACGGTGGGATGACCGGCAAAAAAAAAAATCACAAATAACACAGACTTGTTATTGAGAAATTTGAAAAAAGTGTTTGTCTACCTCTGTTGCGCGTGCATCATCATGGAATAGTGTATCCTCCTCAAAGCTGAAAGGCTGTTCCAAGGAGGAAAGAACCCAGGGCAGGAATACGAAGGAGAAGAGTAAGGTTCTTTGCGTGATCATGGTGGTGGGGAAGCTCCAGGGCACGGTGGCCGCCGTTCGGAGTCGAGCGGAATGCGGCAGAGGCAGCGCAGGCAGCGCAGACGGTGCAGGCAGCCCGGGGACCTTTCCTTGGTGCCTGCAAGTTAGAATGTGATCTGTCAAATCAGTATTTAAAGCCTTCACGAGTAGCTGCCAGGAGATTCTTATGTGGGAGTTTAGGGAACCAACTTTAACCCTGTACTGGCCGTCAGGGGGAGACGGAGGGAGTGAGATGGGAGGGAATAAAACCAGTCCCCTAGGCAGTGACTTCTTGGTATTTTATGCCGAGTGGGGGGCGGGGACGGAGGGAACTGGAGGAGGGAAAGGGCTGTTTCTGATTGCTAATCATCGTTCGTGGGAAGGCATCTTCAGTACAAGTATGAGTTCCTGAACTTTGACAGTACGATTTATTTAGGACTGGGGGAAGCTTTTTTTGTTCGTTGTTGAGTGTCTCAGATAATCTGATCCACCCGCTCCTCCTCTTAAAAAAAAAAAGAAAAGAAAAAAAAAGGTAATCTTGCAAATGGAAATTTTAATTTATATAAAAAAACATTGCAAAATAAGTTGGGAACGTTTAAAGAATGTGCTTAAGTAAAGGCACACGGCACATCTTTTTCTCATTTAGGGTCGCCTGAGGCTAGCTGAAGCCCACACTAATGCTGCCAGTGTGTTATGCAAAGACTTTATTGTGCTGGACATATATTTCCTTGTTTCTCCCCATATTTCTTTTCTTGAAATGTTTATTAGTCTATTGTGCCTGTTAATTATAGGCCAGACACAGTGTGGCTTATATTACCTGTGCGTTAAATATTAACGGCGAGTAAAAATTTCCAGACTCTTGTTTATTGCTGCTGTTGACATACCCTGTAAGCCCTTGCAGTGTCTGCGTCTGTTTCCACAGGATGTACCTGAATGCATTTTAAATGAAGGTCGTACCCTTTCAGGGGTTTATAACGACCTATTACTTTTTAAATAATGGAGCGGGGCTTTGTGCACTCATTTTCTATGAGTCCACATTTGTCTTTGAGATGATGCTGTTTATCTTTCAGGGGTTTATTGGAGGTAAAACTTAATCCACCTGGTCTTTACATCCTTCCTGGTGCAGATGAGTCAGGCCTGAGGGGCCTGCAATGGGAGACGTATCTGTACGTTATCAGTTACTGCCATTTAGATCGTTATCTGGCTCTGGCGGAATAAGAAGGATCTTGACTCGCACAAACCCGAAAACATGTCTCAGTTTGTAAGCAGTTGAATTTGCAGATGCATGACTGGAAACTCCAGGGAGAGCAACTGAATGTTTATTTTATGGGATGCTTGTGTCTCAGCTCCTAGCTGTGCAGTGACACAAAACGATCAACCTCAGATTCACCTTTTAAACAAAAGGAGTGCTCAGTTTAAGGCATTCCTGACCACGCGGCTGCAAACTCTCCCCCCTTTCTTGCACCTCAGAAAATGGAAAGACGGGCCTCTGAAGTAAACATCCTAGGAATGAGGGTAAGTGGTGTGCATCTGGAAAAGCAGTACTACAGGTGTGCTTGCAATTATACTCACCAGGAAAAAAAAACTGCCGTGCAAGGAAATCTGCTACCAATGTTTTCTGCCCTTTTCTGCTGTCTGTAGAAATTTCCTGTTTGGGAGATAGATCAGTCCATGACTGGGTTTTAGAATCCGCCATCGCTATCAAAACTTTACATTTAGAATTCTTTCTGGGCATCTGCCTGTTTTCTGAGTGTCTTAAACAAAGTGTATCATCCTCATCATAGATCTCGCACATAAGGATCATTCTAACTTGAAAACCCCAAAGAGCTTCAGAAAAGTAATAACAGGATGCATTGTGTGTGCAAACCCTCTTAGACCATACTCTAAAGATTGCACGTTACAATCAGTATTGTTTTTATGTCAACCCCAAATACGCGTGTGTGTGTGTGTATGTGTGTGTGTGTCTATATATATATATATACACACATACACACACACAATTTTTTGAAGTCCTGAAAACATCTTTTAAGTTACGTCCTATGCTCTTACCTGTTTTACAGTCTTTATTTGTAATAAACAAAAAAATGTATCTTCATGTTTAGTTCAGATGCATTGAATAAGATGCAGAGGAAATCATGCAAAATATTGTCTTTTGACAGTGAATAACTTCATTTGTTTTTGTTGATGTTTAATATTTAAGAATTGTTCTCAGAAGCTTTAAGTGATTCATGCACATTGATTTTATTGTGCTATACTTCCATTCACACATCATTTAAAATTTCCAATATCCATCCACAGACTAGATGATGTTTTGCCAGCCCTGTTTTCCTTCAAGTGAGAAATACTTAAGGAAAAATCTAAGATTAAAAGTCTGGATAAGCCCTTGTTAAAGAACTCAAGGGAAACTTTTTTTATTACTGGCAACAGGTTTCACTCCTGAAATAGAGAAAAAACAACTTTTTCCTTCTAAACGTGTTGAAAAGTGTTCCGTGTCCTTGGGATTTTTTTTTTGTTTTTATCCACGACTTTTAGCTTGAAGCTACTTTATTTTGCCCTGAAATTTTTACCCATAGTTTATACCTCCATTTACACCCTTCTGTATAGTTTTTCTTGGGTCTGTCTGCAAGGGGATTCGTGCCGATGGTGCGGCATAGAGGTGAGGGTATGGAAACTAGACATGGAAAAATCCATGCAGAAGGGTTGGCGTGAAGTCAATAGACAAGGAAACGAGACAGAACTGCAGGACTGCAGTGAGGAACATGGATGGAAATGTAAGGGAGGCGACTTCTGAAGTGATGGCTCATATTGAGCTAAGAGCAGCCTGAAAAACAAGCCGCCAAAGCAAGCTGAGGATTGAGGATGCCTGTGACCAGTGTTTCCCAACCCGCTATTCGGGGAATCGCTGACGGTCCATGTTTTTGCTTCCTCCCAGCTCCCAACCAAACACTTCACATTTTTGCTCCCTCCCAGCTCCCTGTGTGCACTGTCTGCAGATCCGCGAGGACTGGGAAACACTGCTCTAGACAAACTCAAATTCTGGTTCTTTTGGAGTCCTGCAGTCCTCTGCATATTTCATCTTAGTTGAGTAAAAAGATACTTAAAAGCTTCACCTGAATTGTCAAGCTAGCCACTATTGCTGTTTGAGTTTCTGTCTTAATTTCAAAAAGGGCCTTTTACATTTTAGAATTAAGTATGGGACTGTTTTTTTTTTTTTTTTTTTTTACTTTCCATTTTATAAATTGCCTTTCTCTGCTCTCTAGTTCATACCAACGAGTAGATATTTGCTTGTCATCCACCATTTTAATTGAAGAAGACCGCTATCTTTTCCCCTGTGGTTATTAAGTGTGATTGTTTTGTGAGGTAATCCTCCATTGTCATTAGGTCGTGAAGACATTTAGCCTGTTGGTCTATTAAACCTTTGAGTTTGATACTCTGTTGTTTGTGTTTGCCTGGACTATTTTCTAGATGGCGTTCCTGGATGACGTGCTGGCAAATGGCCATGGAATTTCATTCTTGTAGGAATTGTGGGATGGCTTAATTGGTAAAACAGAAGTTTCCCCTCACGTTCAGGGATGTGTGCTGGGAATATTGGAGGTGTTTGAGTGATTTTTGGGGAAATTTATTAAGAACTTGCCATGGTACCATGAGAATTGTCGGCAGATCTGGTCATGGTCTCACACTTTCAAGATGGTTTTGGGGGAAAACCGCTGACTAGACTAGAGACATGAAAAGCCATGAATTTTGTCATTCTGTAAATTTGACAGTATTTGCACTGTATGTAACAGATGACATGTCCAGACATTTCCAGGCTTTTCATGTGCATCCCATCACATTGGTCAGACTTTGTGGTTTTCAGTCTTTAGATAAAAACAAGGTCTTTTTAAAAAAATAGTTTACATATGGATTAAGTGATTGTTAGTATAATCATAGTTCATATATATTAGGCTATATTCTGAAAACAATTGTGCTGTGTTATGTTTTTAAATGTTTCTAATTAGACCTTAAAATATGTTTATTCAGATATAAAATATAACTACACCACGGTCTTGACCAGGATAAGTGGTTAAGATGGATGGATAAATATTAACCAAGATATGTTTTCTTTAATAATTTAAATAATATTTTTTTTGCTTATTCTTATTTCTGATCTGTCTGACATCAAATATAAAAGTTGACATAATTTTCCTGATCAAATTTACTTATTAAAATGGACTTTAATAAAGTAATGCCAAGTTAAAATGCCAGGCAAAATCTGCTTTTTGCCTGAAAGTTGGGGGAAAAAAAGTCACTCAGCACTTATTACAGATTTTAAATTTAGGTGTTTGCACTCTACTGGCTTGTAGGCTCTGTGCTGCTGAAGTTTTGTTTTTGCCAGCTTTAGATAATTCAGTTTGTTTCTCTACTAAGATATTTAAGTTATATCAAACCCAATTGTGCTGTGGTCCTTCCTGGGATCTGTCATGTTGGTGTTTTCTGTTTGGTCCAGATTATTGACATGAACCAGGTCACTGCGGATCTACATGAGGTAATGCAAGCCTAAAATCTACACTAGGTAAGTTTGTACATGGAGTATAAACAGGGACGGTACATAAGAAGCCAGCAAAGTCCCTCCTGATGGTCGGCTCAGCTCTTTATACGCCTGATCATGGTGGAGGTTAGGAGGAATTCAGTGAGGAGCATTTCCTCTGGCTGTCTGAGAGACTTTATCTGTCAGTTCCCTACAGATTGAAGGTTACCGCATGGATGAGTACTCAGTTTGTTGATTGAGAAAAGCTCAGCAAGAGTATATACGTTATACCGTTCCTATGCCAGTATCCAGTGGCATGAAATTGTGTTCCCCCAGGCTCTTGGTACAACATGCAAATGGCAAGGGGGGAGTTTTCACAGGACTTAAAGCACAAAACACAGGACAGAGCAAAACTGACGGCTTGGCACAGTGGTTTTACACTTGGGTTTTCATAGGTTCTGCAGATTTTATCCTGAACGCTTGGGAATTATGTAGGCGTGTAACTGATACACTGTCCTCACATGAGGAATTTTCTTACGGTAATCCTGCCTTCACAGTAAAGTGATTTCTTTTACATGATTGCAGTTTTTGATGTTTTTTGTTATGCCAGTGAATCTTCAAATACAGACACTAGGCTTGTTGTACACAAATGTTGTTCTGTACCTAACTGGTAGGGTAGAACAACTAAATGTGTTTCTTCTTCCTGCTGGGCTAGTACCTGTATTCTGCATGAGTACCGTATCTGTGACCTGGCTTTAATAATGAT